GGAACAATATGCCCACTTTCAGTAGTAAATATATATATATTTTTTTTAAATCCCCACTTATCCATTTATCTTCAGACAGGGTAGGAGGGAGAGAAAGAGAAAGAGAAAGATCGATGTGAGAGAGACACATCGATTGGTTGCTTCCTGTGTGACCCTGACCAGGGCCAGGACTGAACCGCAACTGAGGTACATGCCCTTGACCAGAATCAAACCCACTATTCCTCTCTGCAGGCCAACACTCTAACCACTGAGCCAAACCGGCCAGCAATGGAATTTTTAGCATAAGCATTGTAAAAAATAATATTTAAAGATATACAGAGCTATCAATATTGATTAGAAAAATCTAATTAGGGGCAATCACTTTTAATATTTTGACATCTTTCCACTCTTTCATTGTTCAGATAATGCTGTACATATTCGTTTTTAGGCATTTTTTAATTTGGGGAAAATGATACCTGTGTATTACAATATAATATTCAAATAATATCACAAATTGCCAAGAAGAGAGTAAAAACCAAAGGAACCCCCCATGCCATGATGAGTGTTTTCCTGTCTTGGTGACACCCTTCTAGGCACCATAGGTACACAGGACGTGGGTTGTCAGCTCATGTCTGTCCTTTTCTTTGTGGATGACATACCATTTCCATGAACCCCTACTGTTGTACACATTTTAGCTTTGTTTCCTTTGTGTGACTGTAAGTTACCTAATCCGTTCTCTTTTGATTCTAATTTTGCTGTTTGAATACTGCTGTCACAGATACCTGTGGCTGTACATCTTTGCCCACATATCTGATGATTTCTTTTTTTTTTATCCTCACCCGAGGACATTTTTCCATTTTTTGTTCAGGTAGAGTGGGAGGGAGAGAGAGGAACAGAGAGAAAGAGAGAAACATCGATGTGAAAGGAACACATCGAGTGGCTGCCACCCGCACAACCGACCAGGGCCGGGGACAAACTGCAACCGAGGTACGCGCCCTTAGCGGGAACCGAACCCAGGTCTCTCAGGACCGCAGGCCGACGCTCTAACTGCTGAACCAAACCGGCCAGGGCCTGATGATTTCTTTAGGACAGATTTCTAGACCTGGGAACCCCAAGGTGAAAGGTATAGATTCTTTATTTAAAATTTTTTTTTTCTTTATTGATTTTTAGAGAGAGGAAGGGAGAGGGAAAGAGAGATAGAAACATCGATGAGAGAGAACATTGATTGGCCGCCTCCTGCATGCCCCCCACTGGGGATCGGGCCCACAACCTGGGCATGTGCTCTGACTGGGAATCAATCTTCTGGTGCATGGGTCGACGCTCAGCCACCGAGCCACACCAGCTGGGCGAAAGGTGTGGATTCTTAAGGACTGGCTACCGTTGCTTTCCCAGAGGCTGCTTCCCTTGGGTTTGCACTCACATCAGTAGGGGCCGGGCCTGGCTCTCACTACAGGCAAGTTACCTGCCATGGGAAGGCCACATGTCAGCAGAGTTAGAGGTCACAGGGATCGAGGCTATTATATAGTCATGCACACTGAGTCCTCAGAGTAGCACCTTTCTGCCCCGGCCAATCTTGGAGGTAACAGTCCTACCGGCCTGGCGAGGAAGGCACTGGAGAGCATGTCCAGGGAGGCTGCCTCTCGGGCGAGAGGCTATCGTGTGTTCTGAGAACTGTCACAGCAGATCGTGATGCACTCTTGAGCTTTTGGGAATTTGATAAAAACATAAAAGCCCTCCCTAGAAAAGCACACAGGTGGGTGACATTTGCATGTCTGTGTCAGGGTCTGTGGACCCAGATTGGCATTCCTGCTGCTGCCACAGGAGCGCTGGAGGAGGTCTGAGGCCATTGCTGGCCAGCCAGGGGTGGGAACTGGAATGTAGGGAGGGGCGGAGCAGGAGCCCACAGCACCTGTACCCATCTCCAGAATAACACCAGCATGTTATGTGCATGGCACCATTAATCCATCATACTGCTCCTGTCCCCATTTTATAGGTAAAGAAACTGACATTAAGGAGGGTGCAATAAAGTGGCAGAGCCAAGACTCAAACCCAGGTCCAACCCAGAATAGCAACCCTAACTCTGACCAACAGCTACGCTTTTTTTTAAGAGCTTTATTGAGATGGAGTTTCACACCATACAATTTACCCACTTAAGGTGTATTCAGTGGCTGTGAGCACATTCAGAGCTGTACAGTCATCAGCACGTAACTTTAGGACATGTTACCCCCAAAGTGACACCTATACCTGTTAGCAGCCACTCCCCACCCTCCCCAGCCTGCAGTACCCACTCTTCTACTTCCTGTCTGTACTTTTGTCTATCTTGGACATTTCATATCAGTGGGCCTTTCCTTTCTGGCTGGGCTCATTTATAATAATACCTTCGATGCCTGGCCGGTGTGGCTTAGTGGATTGAGCATCTTCCCATGCACCAAGAGGTTGCTGGTTTGATTCCTGGTCAGGACACATACCCAGCTTGCGGGCTCGATTCCCGGTATGGAGGCAGTCGATCAATGTTTCTCTCTCATCGATGCTTTTCTCTCTCCCTTTCTTCCTTCCTCTCTCTATAAAAAATCAATTAAAATATATTTAAACACACACACACAATGTCTTTGAGGTTCATCCAGGCTACAGTAGACATCAGAATTTCATTCCTTTTTGTAGCTGCATAACGTTCAGTTGTCTGGATGGATCACATTTCATATCTATGCATCCACTGATGGACATCTGGGTCATTTCCACTTTTGCCTGTTGTCACTCATGCTCCTGCTACACTTTTGGCCCCTCACATGATTCTGTAGGATTTGCCAGAGCTAACCAGCCTCCCCACTACTCAGTGACTGGGGGTGGTCTGCCTGTCCATCTACATGCAGCCCAGGCTGAGAGCTCTCCTGACTGCTTGGCCTCTTCCTGTGACCCTTCCCTCCCTCACAGCTCGGAGCCCTTGGGGCTGTTGGATGCTCTAGCATGTGGGCACCTCCTGTGGTCATGGCTGACTCCCGATTTTGGCGGCATCACTTCAAATGTCACTTTCATACAAAATTTCCATAAATAGTGATGGGAGGAGAAAACGAAGAACTAGAAACTGCACATGAGTGAATTCTACCTGGGGGCCACCTTGACTGAATCAGTAATTAAAAATGGGGCCCTGGCTGGTTTGGTTCAGCGGTTAGAGCGTCGGCCTGCGGTCCGGAGAGACCCGGGTTCGGTTCCCGCTAGGGGCGCGTGCCTCGGTTGCAGTTTGTCCCCGGCCCTGGTCGGTTGTGTGGGTGGCAGCCACTCGATGTGTTCCTTTCACATCGATGTTTCTCGCTCTCTCTCCGTTCCTCTCTCTCCCTCCCACTCTACCTGAACAAAAAATGGAAAAATGTCCTTGGGTGAGGATAAAAAAAAAAAAAAAAGCCCGGGCCGGTTTGGCTCAGCGGTTAGAGCATTGGCCTGCGGTCTGGAGAGACCCGGGTTCGATTCCCACTAAGGGCACGTACCTCGGTTGCAGTTTGTCCCCGGCCCTGGTTGGGTCGCGTGGATGGCGACCACTCGATGTGTCCCTTTCACATCGATGTTTCTCTCTCTCTCTCTCTCTCTCTCTCTGTCTCTCCCTCCCACTCTATCTGAACAAAATATCGAAAAATGTCTTCGGGTGAGGATAAAAAACAAAAAATGGGGTGGGGGGTGCCAATGGGGTAAAAAGGTAAAATATCTGTAACAAAAAAATAAATAAAAAATTCATAACAACAAAAAAAAAGAAAAGCTCAGATCCTATTTAAAAAATGGGATCACACCCTGGCTGGTTTTGCTCAGTGGTTAGAGCCTGCGGACCAAAGGGTTCAGTTCTGGCCAAGGACATGTACATTGGTTGCAGTTCGTCCTTGGCCCTAGTCAGGGACGTGCGGGAGGCAACCAATTGATGTTTCTCTCTTGAATCGATGTTTCTCTCCCTCTCACTCTATTTGAAAATAAATGGAAAAAAATATCCTCAGGTGAGGAGTAAAAAAAAAAAAAATGGGGTCACTAACTCTTAGTTAGATGTAGTAGATCCCTTAACCAGTAATGATATCTGATGAACCTCCTGGGGTCAGGTCCCTAGTACAGGGAGTTTGGCATGGTCTTTTCATGATGGGTCATTGTTCTGAGAACTGGAAACCAAAACCCTTTTCTTATGTGGGGACAGAGCATGAGTTTCCACTGCAATACTTTGGGTTTTTTTATTTTTGCAAGATGGTGGTCATCCTGGGTACCACTTAGTTCTGGTTGGATTGAGCTCCTGCTCTTGGGGGTGATAGACCTTTTGGTGCCTTTTCAAAGCCTTGAGCACAATGAGCATGTGAAAATCAGGCAGCCTTGAGGAGCTGAGGAGGGTTGAATGCTGTTGTGACCTGTAGGGGGAGCACTGACTCAGGCGGCCTGCTCTGTGTCTAGGGGCAGAGGGATGAGCTGGGTCTGCTCTAGTTCCCTCACCTGAGCAACCCCGTCACCAGAGTGTGGCTCAGCCACAGGAAGTATCAGTGATGGGCTTTTGGTCCCCCATCACCATATTTCTGAAGATATCTGTTGCAGGAGTGAGCACCTAACCCTAGGTTCCCTGTGTTGCTGCTAATTGGGGAAGAGACTGGGACAGTGGGTGGTTCTGTCAGTCTTGGTTTTGTGACAGTTTTCACAGTGGGAAGATCTTGTAATTTCAGAAATACATTAATGCTTTAGCTAAGCGGTAAGATAGATGGTTCTTAAGACAGTTGGCAAAGTTGATGGCAGCATCCCCAAGCTCTACGTTCCTAGATTGGCTATTTCATGCCTCTCTCACCATGTGACTATTAGTCCCTTTAGCAAAGAAGGAGGAAAAAGGACCCAGATATGCATATATTATTATATTTTATTGAATCCACGACACCACCGATTATATGATATACCATTATTTTAGAAATAGTAAAACATATATTATTTTAATAGTAAAACATATCTTCGGTGATGATTTAAAAAAAAAAGAAAAGAAAATGTCTATAAATAACCCTGAGAAGTATTCTGTATTTCTCTGCTTCCCAGCCCTCTGCTGCAACCATGCTCTGCCAGATCCCCAGTCAGGCCAAGAAGCATCCAAGCTTGATCCCCCTCTTTGTATTTATTGGAGCCGGAGGTACTAGGGCAATGCTGTATGTCATGCGCCTGGCTTTGTTCAATCCAGATGTCTGTTGGGACAGAAAGAATAACCCAGAACCCTGGAACAAACTGGGTCCCGATGAGCAATACAAGTTGTACTCATTGAGTGTAGATTACAGCAGACTGAAGAAAGAAGGTCCAGGCTGCTAGGTGTTTCACTGTAAGGCTGTTTGCAGAATGGTCTTCCAGAAGCCACCTGCACAGCTAGGCACTCAGCCAGGAACTGTTTCCCCTCCAAATGCGAAGTCACGTTGGTGTATTGTGTTGGGGTTTACACTGATTAATAAGTACTTGAAAGTTGGGAAAAAATAACCCTGAGAAATAGAAAAACCTTTGTAAAGAGAGTTAGGAAATATAATTGAAGAACATAAAAGAGGCCTCCTGTAAATAGGGAACTATGACACATTCTTGGATCTAAAGACTGAGCTCAGTAAAGCTGTCAGGTGGCTTTGCAGATCAACCCATTGTTCATCCATGAATTCATTCAGTACCAGTGAAAAGATCCACACATTTGGGTTTTTTTTCTGGAACTTTATGAATGAATCCAAAAAAGTAAATGTGTGAGAATAGCCCAGAAATTTGTGAGAAAGAACAAGGTTGCAGGATGGCCATTCAGGTAAAACATCTTATAAAGCCACAACAATGGAGCCCTGGGGCAGTGATAAACCAGCGACTCTCTAAGTTCCTGGTCAAAGAGCTGAGGACAGACCTGGAGCCATGTGGGAAATCATATATGATAAATACAGCATTTCAAGTAATTGGAAAGTAGGTGAAATATAGATACTGGATTTGTTGAATAATCACTTGGAGAAAAATGTAGTCTGATCCCAACCTCACATCATACACAAAAGTAATATCTAGGTGGATTAAAGATCTAAACATAAGCCCTGGGTAGTGTGGCTCAGTGGATTGAACACCGTCCTGTGCACTGAGAGGCCCCGGTTTGATTCACGGTCAGGGCATGTGCCTGGGTTTTGGACTCGATCCCCAGTAGGGGGCATGCAGGAGGCAGCTGATAGATGTTTCTCCTCCCATCCTCTCTCTCAAATCAGTAAAAGCATATGTGTATGTTTTTCTTTATTGATTTTAGAGAGAGAGGAAGGGAGAGGGAGAGAAAGAGAGAAACATCGATGAGAGAGAATACTGATTGGCTGCCTCCTGCATGCTCCCCACTGGGGATCGGGCCCACAACCTGGGCATGTGTCCTGTCTGGGAATCGAACCGGCAACCTCTTTGTGCATGGGTCGATGTTCGACCACTGAGCCACACCAGCAGGGCTAAAAACATATTTTAAAAAATAAAGATCTAGCCCTGGCCAACTGGTTAGAGCATCGGCCTGAGGACTGGAGAGGTTTGATTTTGGTCAAGGGCATGTACCTCAGTTGTGGTTTGTCCCCGGCCATGGTCCGGGCTTGTGCGGGAGGCAGCCATGTGTCCCTCTCACCCTCTCTTCCACTCTATCTGAAGATAAATAGAAGAAAAAAAGAAATGTCCTCGGGTGAGGATTAAAAAAAAAGAAGAAAGATCTAAACATAAAAATACAAGTATACTAGAACTAGAAGAGAATATTGGAGAGCATTTTCATAATCTGGGTTTCTCTGCATAGCCACAGAGGAAAATACTGACAGGTGTGACCACATGAAAATGAGAACATATGTTTATCATCTCCATCATTAAAATTAAAAGAAATCAAGAACAGCCTGGCCAGTGTGGCTCAGTGGTTGAATGTTGACCTATGCACCAAGAGGTTGTCAGTTTGATTCCCAGTCAGAGCACATGCCCAGGTTGTGGGCCCAATCCCCAGTGGGGGGCATGCAGGAGGCAGCCAATCGATGTTCTTTCACATCGATGTCTCTCTCTCTCCCTCTCCCTTCCTCTCTCTAACATCAAGAAAGAAAAGTCAAGTACAGTAGAAAAATGGGCAGAGGATAAAATAAGATATTCACAGAAGATACCAATAAACATGAAAAGATGCTTAATTTCAGGAATAATACAGAAATGAAAATTGAGAGAAAATAGAGATAACTCTTTTTCCTCAAAAGATTGACCAAAACAAAGCAGGCTGTCTTTTGCCCCATTGATGGCAGCTGGCGGTGTGGGTTAGTAGCTAGACACTCAGAGGGAGCAGGACCACAGGTTCTCAAACAGCACCACCTTGCCCATCCTTGGCTGTGCGTGATAGTATCCTGGATGGTCACGCAAAACCATAAATCCCCAAATACTAAGGGCATGAGTGCTGCAGTAAATGAGGGACACACCTATGGAATACAGCAAAGCATCCCAGGTGACTGTGGGTCTTTGACATGGAAAGTCCTGTGATGCAGTGTGAGGTGAAACGAAGCAAGTTGTCCAAGAAGGTGGTTGTGACTTTGTTGATTAAAAACTGATGGTTGCCCTGGCCGGTTTGGTTCAGCGGTTAGAGCGTCGGCCTGCGGTCCAGAGAGACCCGGGTTCGGTTCCCGCTAAGGGCGCGTACCTCGGTTGCAGTTTGTCCCCGGCCCTGGTTGGTCGTGCGGGTGGCAGCCACTCAATGTGTCCCTTTCACGTTGATGTTTCTCTCTCTCTCTCTCCCTCCCACTCTATCTGAACAAAAAATGGAGAAATGTCCTCAGGTGAGGATTAAAAATAAATAAATAAATAAAAACTGATGGTTATCTAGAAAAAAGTCTGAGAGGAAGAATATCACGTGTTAATAGTTGTTGCTTTGGGAAGGAGAGAGGAGAGAGCACTTTTGAATTGGTGCACTTTATTTGAATTTCTACAACAATTTATGTATCTTGCCATTTAAGACAAGTGACTTTTTGTACCGTTTCCTTTATTTGTGAAATGAACCAAGGGGACAGTATTGTCATGAAGTCCTTAGCTGTGTAGCAGAGAGCAGTTTGGACCCATGTGAGGACAGCACACGCCAGCGTGCCTGCCCCCGTCTCTGCCCTCTGACTCAGCGTTTACCTCCCTACATAGTGGGGCCCCGTGTTCTGGTCACCCCTTACTTGAGATTGTGCCCTTTCTGCAGGAACTAGTCTGGCCTGGGCTCGCTGCAAGGCCAGATGCCTGCAAGTAGCTCACTTACTCAGAAAGCTTGCTTACTCTGAGGGGCGCCTGTGTGGTTGGACACTCTTGGCACCCCACCACACCCCACGGACTAGCAACCACATACATACCCAACCACATTCATGCACACGTGCACAACCACTCTCCCACGTGCACACATACCCCCACCCAGCCACGCACACGTATCTGCACACACACAACCATTTACACACATACACACACACACACACACTCTACAGGCTTTAGCCTTCGGGTCTGCAGAGGGCCGGCCCTCCTAATGGGTGGGTGATGGGACTAGAGGGGCGAGCGGGCTTTAGATTCCCATGCCTGACCCCTTCCTGGTGTTCTAGGTGCTCTGGGCCCCCTGGGGACTGAGGGACGTTCTGTTCTGGCCTCCCGTTTCCTTCAGGGTTTCTGCCCGCAATGGGATTTGTCACCACAGACCTGGTGACATCTGCTCGTATTCCTTTAATCTCTTCAACATGGAAATGGCTGATAATTGTTACTTTTTCTTTAATAAGAATTTATTTTATTGGTTCCAGTCACCAATTGACCTTTGTCGCTTACTTTCCCTGTCATTTTGTGCTTCGATGGACATGGCCCCAGGGGAGTTCTCAGGTGTGTATTTCTCCTGTCTGTCTGTCTGTAGCCCCCTCGTCCCCACAGTGGAGTCCAGGTGGAGCGGGGTGGTGTCCCAGGGACACTCCCTGCTGCTGTCACACTCCAGTCACCACTAGCTGGGCAGCCTGTCCTTCCTAATTCCGTTCCAGGCCACTAAGGCACACGTGCTTTTGCTCACCAGCCTGCTGCCGCTTGGAAGCTTATTTTGGTTTGCTCCACTCGCCCACCGACGGTAACCTTGGCCTCTGAGGGAGAAGCTGTGCCCTGACCCCTGTCTTCTTGAAAGCTGAGAATCCCCCACAGTCATTTCTTTTTTTTTATCCTCACCTGAGGACATTTTTGCATTTATCTTCAGATAGAGTGGGAGGGAGAGAGGGAGGAAGAGAGAGAGAAACATCGATGTTAGAGAGACACATCGAGTGGTTGCCACCCACACGACCCCAACCAGTGCTGGGGACGAATCACAACCGAGGTACGTGCCCTTAGCGGGAACCGAACCCGGGACTCTCTGGTCTGTGGGCCGATGCTCTAACCGCTGAGCAAAACTGGCCAGGGCTCCCATGGTCATTTCTTAAGGTTCTACAGAGCTGTTAGAAGCACAGGACGGTTACCTGAACAAGGCCTGCAGGCCCAGTTCTGCGGTGTCTCCTCTCTCGGGTGTTTCCTAGGAGCCTGGGATCCCATGAGGCCCCCACCAAGCGCAGCTCAGGGGTCCTCTCCCCATGTGGCAGGTGCACTGAGATCCTGCTTTCTTGCTTTGCAGCAGGAGGCTCTGAGGCCCCCTCCTACCCAACTTCAGCCTCTGCAGTGTGCAAAGGCACAAGGGTCCTGGGCACAGCTCTCCTTCCCTGCAGTGACTTTACCCAGGTTGTGGTGTAAGGTGTCAGTGCATTGCCTTGACCTTTCACCTCCCCGGCAAGTGCTGTTGGCCTGGTGGTCTGTGCACCCTAAGGATAAACTTTCCAGAGGAGTAGCTGGCTCCCTCCCACCCTGCTCCTGTGTCTAACTCCGACACAGAGAAGTAGCCCTAAAACACCTTCACCTGCTGCCCACACAGGCTTAATGCGCTTGTTTTCTCTCCCTTCCTCTCTCCTAATCCTTCCTCCCGCCCCGGTTGCCTATCTCCTGTGGGACTGGGACTGCTCCCCTAGTGCGCGATGATTTTTTTGGTAAGGCCAAGGCCCCATTTCAGTATGTGTTTCTCTCATTTCGGTCTTCCTTTGTCTACCCGACACCTTCTCATGCCTCATGAGCCGTCTGCTTTGTTCTGCATGGTGGGGCAAGGTGGGGTCAGCAGGGACTTCAGGGGGGGGCACAGGGAGTGGGGGCCTCTGCCCTGCCACCCCAACAGCTTCCCTCAGAGCAGACCCGAGGCCTGCTGAAGAGGGGCAGCCCAGCCCCTCGAGCCTGCCTGGTGCCTGCTGTGTTCCACCCAGGGCGGGCAGGCCGCGAGGCAAGGGTGCGAGAATGGAGAC